TATACGTGAAATTCCGGAGGGGACGTCGGATGTCGTCACGTGGGGGCATAATGACGTGTGCCATTAATTGAACTATGTACTATAACATGTAAAACGGAACATGAAAGGAATATTCTAAAAGCAACTCATGTAAACACCATAATCATAATATTAGCTTATTTAGAATAAGGTAAATAATTAGATTACTGATGTCCATGTAAACGTAGTCACTGACGTACATCCGAGTAAATGAGACGGAGGGAAGTTTGAGAGTGAAGGGCATAAAAAAAACGGACTGGAACGCAGCCTTCGTAGGATGCGGTCTTTGAATTGGGACAGCTTTGTCGCACCGCCATGACGCAGTTGGCCTCACAAAGACGAACTATATGTTTATACGTGAAATTCCGGAGGGGACGTCGGATGTCGTCACTGCACTCCACCATCTCACTTTTACAGATTACTGTGGGGGGTCACTCTCACAGTCTCCTTATAAATGTGGGGAGGGCTAACAATTTCAAAAGGAATATTTTCTCACATTAAATATGTAGCCTTGTATAGTATCAAGCTTTTTTTGTATTGTTTAGGGATTAAATTGCCACGTTGAGGGTATTCTAATTGATATAATTGTGTTTTATATTTGTCACATTAACAATTAGATGACACTTGGGTCCCTGAGGCTGCTGCAGTGCCAGTGAGTTCAAAGGAGCTGGAGATGAAAAGATTTCACCTGGTGAAGAGACAATTCCAGAGAGTGACTGTAGGGCAGGACTTTCTCATTCAAGACTACCAGAAAAGGGCTAAGTGAGTGGCTGCAATCCTTCCTTTTTACTAGGGGTTTTCGCATCAGAGGAACCTTTTCATAGTTCCTAGAACTATTGGCGGAAGTACCCGCTTTTTGTCGTGTTCGCACCGCAGAAACTAGGAACGGTTTTAGTTCTAGGAACTCCGTTTGGAGGAACTAAATTACCTCCTACTTCAGAGTAGGGTCTAAAACAGTTCTATAGGAACTACAAGTGACTTGGCCAAACGCATACGAAACACCGGCTACCCGTCATTTTTAAAAAGCCATGTAAAAATACTTACTCCATGAACATGGAAAACGGCGATAACGGCATTTACCTGTTGTCTGTAGTGTTGTGTTCTTTTCTCAGCCTCGATATGTAACACTGCAAGTTGTCATAGGAGATTTCGTCTCTTAGCCCAAATTTTGCTCTTTCAGTCGCGTAAATTGTGCATTTACATTCCATTTCCGTTATCACGAAACCCAAAACACAATAAAAACAGCTCCGATCATGGCGTCCTCAATTCACCAGTTGTTGACGTATGTAAGTGCCACGCATAAAGGCTTTGCTGTTGGCCGCTTCAAGTTTCTGCTGCCGGTGCGAATGCAACCAGGAAAACCGCCCGAGGGAGAAATTGGTTCTAGAAACTAAATTTCTAGAACTACGTGGTGCGAAAGCCCCTACTGTTTCAGAGGCACTGTAGATCTGTTGAATCATTGTTACATTATAGAAAGTATTATTTGCATCTTATATTTACACCATTTACTTTTGGTGATTTGTCTGAAGCTCGTATAGAAACAGTAATTCATTGGCTGATGGTACTGATGCCACCTATCAAAGCATTGTGTCATCGCCATCTTCCAATTTCTTACTTTTCAGGAAGCAATTTTTGTTGCAATTTTTTTTTTTCAAATGGTAATTTATTTAGTCTTATCCAAGCAATCTACGCCAACTGCACAAGCCAGTGGCTTTGGTTGCTGTCTCAAGGGGCTTACGGTCACAAAACAGCGAATATTGCATTGGGTAAGGGATGCCGTTTCTCATTGAAGTTAAAGGATTGATGGCATAGGAGATTCCTTATATAACACCAGTGACACAACACCTCGAGAGACTTGATTTTGCTTGTTTCTATATGGGATTCAGACAATTGTCACACCTGGGGGTGTTCCTATAATTTTAGCTACTGTTGCAGCATCTTATTCTCTACTCGGGAAAGAGTTACATATCTATGCATTTTTTTATTTTATTTATTTTATTTTTTACCTTTCAGAGGTTTGGAGACATCTTTGAGGGACCTTGATGCAGAAGATGCCAAATATGATCACTTGCTTAAGTAAATCAGTAAAATATTTTATTTGACAGCTCTGTTGGAAGTAAATTGAAATTGCACAGAATATTGGTTTCATTTTCACTTCACTTAAAACAGTGTTTCTTTTTTGTAGAGAAAATGACAGTAACACAGATTTGAAGGAAGACATTCTTGCAAAAAACCGAACGGTTTGCACCAAGTTTACTTTTCAGTTTTTCTATAATTTATTATTTTAATCATAACTACTTGTTAAATTTCTGATAATTTACGTTCTCAGGTGCGAGGCTTTTGGACTGAGACAGACAGAGTCTTATCTCCCCTTGAAGTAGATCGAAAAGTGGTGGAGAGTGTGATCCATAGACAGGTAGACTGGTATATCTTGGGTGGGCATGATTTGAGCGTGAAGATACCTGCGGTTCTGAGTGAGAGGATGGAGAGGCTATCCCACCAGGTGAGAGCTATAGGCAGAAAGGGTAAAGAAAACTTTAACATGTTAGAAAAGGTATACATTTTAATGAACATGTATTTCCTAAAAGTTTGATAGGTCAGCATGATATTTTGGTGTAGAAACATTTGCCAATGAATGAGTTCTGTCTGTGTCCATAGTCCAGTGTTGGTAGCTTGTATAAGGGAGGGCAGCCTGTCCTTGTGTGTTTGCTGGAGCTTCTAAATGAGGGATTACACATCCTAAGAGAGGAGAGAGAGAAAATTGTAGGCCCCAGTGTACAGCTTCAACACCGAGACCTCCAAGAGCATGCCTTGCTCTTCAGCCGCTCAAAAGAAAACCTCAAGCTTATAAGGTACCATAAATGTGATCTTAAAAATTAAATTGTCTTTTACATTTAGAATTTTTAAGTGTCCTTTAATAAAGTTGTTTGTTAAATATTACAATAAAAGACAAAATGAAAAACAGAAAAACTCCTGGTCATTTCATCATAAAAACTAATTGGGAATTTAAAAAAAATGTTGTCACTTGTGAGTTCTGATGGTTAATCAGCATCTGATTTAATTCATGTGTTGGCAATTTAAATCTGTGACCACACCCTCTGGGTTCACAGTCACCTGAAGTATAAAGGCATGCGAAGCAGTGAATGGACACAATGAATTTGGGGACTTATATTGGTTGTTTACCTTTTGAATGTAGTATTTTAGTGTTTGTTTAACACTTAAATTCAAGTGTTCAGAAGATACGATTTGTGGTATTTTTCCAGGTGGAAACTAATCAAAGAGAATGCAGCAGAGGTGAAGGTCTCCATTGGGAGGCTGGAGGAGGACTGGGAGAACAAGTGGGCAGAGTGTTTGAAAAAAACACCTCTGATCTCTTCTCTTAAAGAGGATCCTGTAAGTAATTAATTAATTTGAAATAATTTTGTCATTTAGCAGATGCTTTTATCCAAAGCGACTTACAAATGAGGACAATGGAAGCAATCGAAATCAACAAAAGAGCAATGATATGCAAATGCTGGAACAAGTCTCAGCTTAACGCAGTACACGTAGCAAGGTTTTTTTTAAATTATATAATAAATAAAAAAGAAAACGTATAGAATAGAGCAAGCTAGTGTTAGAGGCCTTTTTTACTTTTGTTAATTGTATAATAAATAAAAAGAAAACAAATAGATTAGAGAAGCTAGTGTTAGGTTTTTTTTTTTTTTTAAAGAATAAAATTAGAATAGAGAGTGCTAGAGTTAGAGGGTCAAATAAAGATGGAAGAGATGTTTTTAGCCGTAGATGGAGTCATAACTGCTTTTGTTTGGTATTAAAAGGGTAGTTCAGCCATAAAATTAACATTTTGTTGTCATATACTCTCCCTGAAGTTGTTCCAAACCTGTATGAATTTCTCTCTTTTGCTGAAGTGAACATAGATGTTTTGAAGAATGTGGGTAACTAGACATTTGATGGTAGTCCCTGGTAGACCTTCATAATATGAAAAAAGTACTATGGAAGTCAATAGCTACTGTCAGCTGAAAGAAATTCATACAGGTTTGGAACAATTTCAGGGTGCGTAAATGACAGCATTTTCATTTTTGGGTGAGCTATCTCTTAAATGATTTTGAATCTATGCAGTGGGTTATTTAGCTATTGAGGTTTAGGCTTATTTGGCCATGCAGGTCACTTTGTCTTCTCTGAAACATTGCAGTGTCCAGATTATACAAAGCAGTATCTACGGTATATAGAAGTTACACATTTAGTTTGGTGTATCGTTGTTATTGTTCTGATTTTGTTTGTATGATTGATCCGCTCTCTGTAACCTTTAACAGGTTTTTGACTTCTCCCCAATGGCTCCTCTCTCATTTGAGCCAGCTTCTAAGGCTAGCTTTGAGGCTAGTATCATCTTACAATATCCATTTAAAATACCTGGTAAGTTAGCAGCTTAGATGATTGCATTATGTAATTTTTCCTCTGTAGATACGGTGTAATATATTATTTTTTTCTCTCCCTCACTTTTGAGAACTGCTAGAGCAGCTGTCTCAAAGAAAACCAGAGAGAATGGAGGCAGACATCCATTTGGAACCAGAAGTCCACCTGGAGCCAGAAATCAAAACGTACAGCACAATTTGAGTGTTTCTAAATGGAGAAAGTCTGGAAAGATAACATTAGTTCCATGTTCATGGAAATGAATGAATAAAAGGATGTAACCACCATTTTTTTTCAACAGCATTTCTGAGGAAGATGAATATAAGGGGGTCTTGCTGTCCTCTGTCAGCTGCTTTTCTCCAAAACCAGTGACTTGTGACACACCACCATGTGAAACTCCCTTGACTTACCCGGTTAAAATTAAGTCTGTGACTCAGACACCCAGTCCAATGCAGGTAGTTTTGTATTGCTGAGCTCTATACTTTCCTGCTTGTACCTCTTCATATTAGCCACATCCATGCTGGCACAAACACTTAATCTCAGGTTGTTAATCTCAGAGGGAGAAATAAGTGTGTAAATGGGTAGCAACATCATGGGGTATTCCAGAAAGCAGGTTATGCTACATCGAGTTAAGTGTACGGATAAGTAAACCAATAACCTCAATTTTTATTCCAAAAACTGAGCATTAGCAACTTATTCATGGCAGGTTATGTTTTAGAGTTAGTTTACTTCAGAGGTATTTGGTGCATACATGCCCTATTGAAGAGGCTTTGAGCATAGTTAACAGATAGTTAGTGATATGCCCTAAGAATGTAAATGACTACTTAACAAGTAGTATGACTCGCTTCTTAGCCTGTGTTTCCATGGTGACTCCTAGATTCAGCACCATATTGAAAATGTGTGTTCACTGTGAACATGCCCTGAGGTATATGAGGTTATTCCTTGTGTTTTAGGGTTTGTGATGTTAAGTTAACCCTGCTCTCTGTAATAACCCCTGAAGTCCATGCAAATAATGGAAAGTATGCTTGCATTATACTTTATCTCTGAAAATAATGTAGCATAGAAGATAAGAGCATGTTTGTAAACTGGTCATGCATATTTTTCAGCCTCAGTTCACCCTCTGGAGAGCAGTTAATTCTGTCTTGATTCCATCTTTATTTTATTTATTTTTTTTTTTTTCCTTTCTCTTTTTACAGGCTTCCCACAGGAGAAATCTGCACTCTAAGATGAAGGCCTCTGTCCTAAAGAACAAGGCTGAAATTCTAGATTTGGAGTGTGACAACTTGGCAAGTCAAGTATGTGGAATATTTACCACATATTAAACTTGCTGTTATTGTAGTTTTAGTGTTTTGTACAATCTGCTCTGGGAAACTGATACATGGGCAGTCCTGAGCAGTGCTCTACCCAACACAAGTTTTCCCTATATCAAACCTGCTCTCTGATGACCGGTGCGAATTGAGAGAAATCGCCACGGACAGATACGGAGCAGACATTTCGCTGTTAGAGGTTATACAAATGCATGTGCAATGTTAAAAGGTTATTTTGCTTTTTGGTTTTCAGTTTGCAGAGGCAGTGATTATGAGTCCAGTCAATGGAAGGAGTGATGTGGACCTGGGACAGTTGTTAAATGTCATATCTGATCCCTTTTCAGCAAGGAAACAGCTGTGCCGCACCCCTGAGAGTCTAAGTATAAGTCTTTTGATGACGTCTACACATTAGTATTTGAGTTATAAATGTTTAGGTCACTTTCACTGGAAATGTTGTTTGTGAATCTCAAGTGTCTTTAAATAAATGTAACTCTCCCTAGTCAAAGATGTGAGAAGTTCATGGAGAAAAGCTGTGGAGGAAGGCATGACTGAGAAGAAACAAGCTACTTGGAATCAGCAAGACAGCCTTTCTTGGCTCAAGACACCTATGGCTGAGGTGAATGGCCCTTGCACCAGACCAAGTCCAGAACCTTCACTATTATTTTCAGCTACTCTTGCCCATTGCACTCCTCCTCCTGTCCAGCAGGGGTCAACCCTCCACTCAACTGTGTCATGGGACTCCTCACAACTGGAGGCTCTTAACAGTCAAAGGTCAAGTGATGTTATTAAATTCAGCATTGCTCAGGAGGAGCTCCCAGACCTTTTTGAGGATGACTTGTCATTTAACAGTGATGGCTCAGCAGAGATCCATAGTAACAAGGAGCGAGAGGAAGAACTTATATCACCTGTTGAATCTAAATGTCTTGATGGAAAAACACTCTTACTGACGGCGCAGGTGTGCTCTTTAGATGAATCTCCTTTCAACGACTCCAATATTGAAAAGTCCCCAGTACATTCAAGGAAGAGTTTGAGCCAGTGGACTACTGATGAGAGGCTTTTCTCTCTTGATTTGGACAAGCTTGAGAGTTTTTCCCCTCCTCCTCCTGCAGAGAAACTCACCCTGCCCAGTTTAGTGAATTTGACTCTTGATGAATACTAACATATCTTAAACAACTGTTCTTTTTTTTTTTTCTTTACATACTAGTATGATGCAAAATGTGTCTGCCATGAATTTCACTTTCAGCTTGATGTGATTTTGATCAGCCTAATTAACAAGTACGTTAAAACATTTTAATGCCACTCATTTTGTCTGAACCATGTAAATTCGTATGACATCTATACTAAACTTTATGTACAAACTAATTGTTAAGGGTAAATATTGGCCAGAAATATTGTTTGTTCATGTTTTGTAATAAAGAGCATTTTATTTGCAAACCGTCTTTTATATTTGGTTTTCTTTTGATTTATTTATGCAAATGTTCAATCAGGAACCACAAACATTGATATGCTGAGAAAAAGTATAATTGTATGTTTTGTAGGTTGGGAAAAACTATACCAGCCACCTGTTAAGCATGGCGCGCACTAGTCTGTAGATATGGGGCGTTATGATGTGCAGAGGAAATGTGGAGCAGCGAGTCATTCGTGGGCGGGTCCATCCGCCTCCAAGCAGTCAGTCCGAGAAACCCGAGAGCGCACCAAAGTAACAAAACACAAACATGGCGCCTAGTTACTGCCGTACAGACTAGCGCTGGACAGAAACAAAGTTTCCAGGAATAAACCCAACGCGCTCGCGCTGAGTACGTTTATTCTCGCTCGAGCCGGAGTGGACGGGTTGGAAGTTGCAACTGGCCTACATGTCAACGCGTTTTCTTAGAGTGCTTTGAACAGCTGGTATGTATTGCTGCGTTTGAAGTTGCTTAATGTCGACACACGCTTCGAGTTGTTGCATTATCTCGTGCTTATGGTTTCGTAATGTGATGTTTTCGCAGTGGTTCTCTTCAAGGCGTATTTATTTCCACGAGCCGTTCGACATTTGCCGATAAAACATGAATTGTCGTTTGCTTTCTGTTGCCACGAAAAGTAAGTGTGCTGTGGTCGAGTTGTGTGAAGTTGCTCGATCTCGCAAAGATGCAACAACGAAGCTCCTTCACAGGCCACATTAGGAGGGAAACTGGCTGTGTGTCAAATCTAGAGTGCTGTATACCTAGACAACATTTTGGGCTAAAAGTACGCGCGTATGTTGTTTAATAGGTTGTTCGCTAGTTTTGGAGTAGCTATGGTGTTTGAAATAAATCTTGTAGGTGATGTTGGGTGTGTCTGCGTGCAGGTTAACCTCACTAATATGGGATCCGCCTGTTTGCAGTTACAGATGACTAAGAGAAGTTACCGTTCACCCCCGTGTGTGTATATAGAGAGAGGGGTAAAAAAAAAAGTGTCAACTCGGGTCATTCAGTGATTAAAACCGTACGTAATAAAATGTCAAAACATTTATAATGTAGGATCAATTATCTGGGACATTTTAACGCTTTCAGTGTCAGATTTGCCTTGGTCAAGGTGTACTGACGTGTTATTTTTGATTGTTTGTTGGTATTGGTTTATAGGTGCTCTCATATGGTTTGCCATTCAGTACTCTGTAGCAGTAGAATGTAGTGTTAATGTAGCATGTATGTAGCAAAATGCCTATCAATAATTATATGTAAAAACAGATATTGTTAAAGCTAATGTGACATTTCAAAACAGGTAGAGGTTTGTTTATTAGGTATATTTACAGAAAATTCTAGTGTCAGAACACTTCATATTTGTATGCCATGGGTGCTTCACATGTCAGTGGTATCAGGGTGACAAAAATACTATACATAACATAAAACAATGTGATGAATAATACATGTTGTGCAGAAATGGTGACCAGTTACAAAATCTAAAATGTACATATGTGTTCTATATGCATGTATACGTGTATTTGAAACTTTTTTTATGAAAGAAAAGTAGGCCTACATGTACATTTGCAAACAGACCATATGCTAATTCAAAGATATAAGTTTGATATTTTATTGTGGTTAAAGAGAGACATGCTTGTATAAGAAGCTTGTGAAGGCCAGATGGTTCACATTTAGGTGATTGATCAATATTTGTAGTGACCTTGACGTTGTCTATATTTACATTGTGTTTGTGCATTATACTGAATTATGATCACTAGGTGGAAGGTTTTGTGTGCGCCTCTATGTTTGTGTGCATGTGCGTTGACCTTGTGCCTCATTACATTTACTCTGCTGCACTTCAAGGTTGCATCAGGTGACTATGTGATCATAAAAGGAGCCGTCCTCAGGAGTGGCTTAAAGGTAACCGTGAGGCATTGTGGGTATGACAAAAGGCAGGCCATGTGGCAAGAGGGCAGGGCTGCTGAAGTGAAAGGGAAACCCAAAACCACATGATAATACTTTTGGTGTGCTCACTCTTCCTCTAGCTTGAAAATGTTTAGCCTATGTTGTGTTTGAGAAGTGGAATCAGTAGTCACGTAGTCAAGTTTTTTTTGTTTAGTTTTTTTCTAAACTTAAAACAAGCAACAACAACAACAACCAAAAAAATCTTGAGTTATAATATTAATACTTGATTGTGACATATTTTTAAAACATCTAATGGGTGAACTTTAAAAAGAAATGTCTGGATCATATTTCACTCTAAAATGTATTCTTCAAGAAGGTAACAAAGCCTGTAATATGATAATAATAAGCCTGCAATGTAATAATGTTTGTGACATTATTGCCATGGCAATTTATGATAATTATCTTTACTGTACAAATTTACAGTTTAAATGGTCCTGTCCTGACATAACCTACATACAGAGGGCATTGAATGTCATGCTCACCCTTGTTCCACGTTTAATGTAATATTGAAACCAACAAAATTCCCAAATTCATTCAGCTGACAAATAGAAACTTTTAAGAAAAAAAAATGCCTGGTTGCACACCCTTTTATAATGGGGCATGTTACCCTGTTTGGAATTAACTAATTACATTCCAACTCTTACTAAAAATAATTATAATCTTCCAGTCATCATTTAAATTATGTTGATTAAACCTGAATACAAATCAGATGTTTATTTAGGATTTCTTTTGCACCTTCTTGATAGCATCTTATTGCGGAAACCATGGCCTGTGAATAGCTTGCAAAAGATTAAGATCTCATTGGCTCTGTTTTCACCTGGTATTGAGATACATTTTCATTGATCCGATCACAAGCGGTCAGCCCGAGACACATTACCATTTACACCTGGTTTAATGTGTGTTTTAAATGATTCTGCTGTGACCACATGGAATTCAATTTACATCTAGACCCTCTCCCCTTATTTTATCTTATTTTATTTGATTTTACTCTTATTTTATTTTAGGGTTTCAATTAGGGCTGGACGATATGGCCAAAATTGATATCACCATATATTTCTTAATTTCGGTCGATACGATATAATTCCGATATCGATATGAACACTATTTATCTGAAATAGAAATCTTTTGTAACATTATAAATGCCTTTAGTGCAGTGCTCATGTTTATTCAACGAAGTCAAACGGCACAAATAAATCAATGTATGGGAAACTGGTAATGTATATCAAAATATCGGAAATGTGTTTAAAAATCATATCACCGTTACTGAAAAAAATTATATCGCGATACATATTGATATTGAATTATTGTCCAGCCCTAGTTTCAATCCTGGTCCTGGGGACCCACTGCTCTGCACATTTTGTATGTCTCTCTTGTCTGACACCCTCTGCTGAGTTCATGGAGCCCTCGCTTATTGAGCTGGTGATCTGAATCAGGTGGCGTAAAAGGGATAGCTGACCCAAAAATGAACATTTTGTAATAAATTACTCGCCTTCATGTCGTTCCAAACCAGTAAGACTTCTGCTCAACTTCAGAACACAAGTTAAGATATTTGACAACGTCGTGGTACTCTCGTGAATGTGCAGCGAAGACCGACATTGAGGAGAAGAAATTGTTAAATATACTTATTTTTGTTTAGTTTTTTTGCACACAAAAAAGTATTCTAGTAGCTTCATAACATTACGGTTGAACCACTGATGTCACATGGACTACTTTAACGTCAGAAAGCTGTCAAAAATATCTTAGTTTGTGTTCCAAAGATGAACAAATGTTTTACGGGTTTGGAACGACATGAGGATGAGTAATTAATGACAGAATTTTCTTTTTTGGGTGAACTATCCCTTTAAATAAGGGATATATACAAAATATGCGGAGTGGTGGGTTCCCAGGACCAGGTTTAAAAACCACTGCTCTACATCACTTTAGTGGGTGTGCCGATTGCATAGCGCAGTTTCAGTTGATTGTTTTGGTGCACTTTAGGGATGTACCAATATATATATTTTTTTATTCCAGAACCAATTCAATCCTGATACCAAAAATTCTAAGTGCCAGTCAATACTGATCCAAAACCAAAATTTTTTTTTGTCCCCGTATCAATGTAGAATTTCCATACCTCTGTGTGTGTGTGGAAATGATACTCTTTTATGTGTTAAACACAATCTACTAAATTCAGATTACTTTATTTTCCCACACACATATATATCTATATATATATATTAGGGCTGCACAATTAATCGAAATTAAATCGCAAAGGCGATGAAACGCGATTAGGCAGAAGCTGCGATTATCATGCATATCTTTCAGTGAAGCACAGTTCTGTGATCAGTAGTAAATCTCCATCCGAAGGCCAGAGGGCGCTCTTGCGTGGAAAATCCGAATATGCCCCGAAGAAGAAATCCAGGAAATGCCTATCGCTGCAGCTGAATAAACTAGTGGTGGAAATTTTGATTTTTTCAAGAGAATCGTTCATTTTCAGTTCGTTCACCAAAATGATTCATTCAGATTCGTTCACTGATTCGTTTAGTGACCATTTCTTCGTATTACATAAATACGCCAGCAGGTGGCGAAAAAGAGTGTCTTATGCTGGGTACACACTAAAAGATTTTTAAAATCTTATAAGATCTTCAAAATGTGAGAGACCACAAACATGAGGACAAAAAATCCTAGATTTAACCGTTTTGCTCCTGAACACAACAATTTCTGATCATAAATATTCAACATGTTGAATGCCTCCGACGTTCTTCCGAGCAGATTCAGTCACTCTTAACACACTTCACACCACAGGAAAATCTGATAAAATAATCTTTAGAACCACCAAGATAATCTGGGCATTACCTAGGATTGTCAGAAGGGGAGAAATCGGCCCAAAATCAGCCCGATTATCTTATGGTGTGTACCCAGCAT